TATTATTATTATTATTATTATTATTATTATTATTATTATTATTATTATTATTATTATTATTATTATTTATGAAAATAAAGTAGTTTGGTTTTGAATATTCAAGTCTAGGTATATTTGTCTGCACTTTGGGTTTTGAAACAACCATCAACCATGACAAACTTCCTCATCACCTATATTTATGCTAAATTGTTTAGGATGTTCATATATTTTTTAAATTTTGTTGTATTTGTTCTTTTTTTAAACTACATTTTACATTGTATTTTACTGTACAGCATCCTTGAGTGCCACTGCCATGCAAGGCACCTTCAAATACATTTATTGTTATTATTATTATTATTATTGTTATAAAAAATATATTATTATTGAAAGTGGCATGACTGTACTTCTCCTTGTTCTCCTTTTCATGATTTATGTTTTCTTTTAGTCCTTTGGGTTCTGCTGTGTTTTCCCCTTGCTTTATTCAGCCCTCTGTGTTCCCTGTACCACTCCTCACACTCACTCTAGTCAGCCCCACCAGTTCCATCAGCTATCATTCACACCTGTTCCTAATTCACGATAATCCCAGGTGCTTTCATTTCCCACATTCTGTCAGTTCTAGTTAAACCACTTTTGATCATCATTTCACTGTCATTGTTCTTGGCAACCTGCCAGCTGTCTAGTCCTCCCTGTGTTCCTTTGTGTCTTTCACCTCCTGGTTTTGTAGGGTGCTGCCATCACGTCAGCCCCTTTTTTTTTTTTTGTTTCTTTAATAAATCAGTTTTTATTCTACGTCAAACTCCCTGTGTCTGCCCCCACTTGGGTCCAACCACTGACCGTGATAGAAACTCTTTAGATGTTTGGTGATTTTTGTTTATTTGTTCACCAACTCAGATTAATTAGTTCGGAGGTAAACGTGACAATTTAAAGATGTTTTTCATAACACATTTGAAAAGTTGAAAAGTTCATTAATTTCTGCAGTTTGGGAATAACTTATCATAACATTATTCTTTCTTTGCCATCTCAGGTAACATGAACAACAACAAAAAAATCAATGAATGGTTGGACTGTTTGGAGAAATTCAACACATGATAAGTTTTGTGCCTTTTTTGTCAGTATTTTACCATGAGTGAAAGTTAAATACCTTGGACCAGTGTATGAAATGATGAACCAAATTGTTTTACTAGTCAGTCAACAGAAACAAAAAAAATACAGATCTCTGTCATCAAACAGTGACTGAGTTAACTTGACCTGTGCCGGATCATTTAGTGTGACACCGTTAAACTTTATCTGCTCAGCTACACTTTGACCTCTGTTTCTGTCAAGTTTCTCAAACCATAAATGATTCATCTTTTCAGTTTTTCTCATCTGGTTGTGGTTTTCTGTCAGATTTTTTTAACCTAAAGTATTCAATAGAGAATATAGACTCACCGAATGATGGTCGGATAAAGTTCTCCAGAGTAAAGGTAACAACAGTTGAAAGAAGCAGCAAGACAACCTTTACCAATCACAGCCAGACTGGTTCGTATGATTTGTTTATCTGCAGAAAATCAGGACATCCATCAGATTTAGCTCTTATTTCTGCAAAATGACACTAGAGTACCGGCATCTGCACGTTCTAACCTACCAGAAGGTACCAGGATGTTGATTAAAATAGTGATTCCAGCGAGGATGAGAGCTCCGCTTTGGGATTGCCGACGTCCAATAAAGCTCATGCACACAGTCATTACAACCTTAGCAGGGATGTCCACAGCGCCAAAGATCACTTGTATCAAGTAGATGTCCACACCAAATTTCTGAAGGTCCATAGCAAGGCCATAGTATGCAAAACTGGTTGATAACCTAAAAATACATCAAGTCTCATTGAAGAATAATTTAAACTAAGTTTTATTCATTTTATTGTGGTTCAATATGTATTTTATGCACCAGACAGCACTGAGGCAGACGGTGATGATCCTCATTTTGGGTGTGCGGAACAGGTCCAGGACAGAGTACGACCTCTGGGAACAGGACATCTCTTTTTTCATGGACTCTTGGAGCATCTATGTGAAAAAAGAGCATATGTTTTAATCCAATACAGGAAGTTTGATGAAAAAAAAACACCAACAGGTATAGCTGTCTCACTTTAACATCGATCTTCTCTCCCTCCTCGTGGTGTCCGTTAAACCTGGCCACACTTTTCAGAGCCTGGACGGCTTGTTCAGGCTTATTATTTAAAGCTAACCATCTGGAGGATTCATGTAACCACCTGCAAAACAAAAAAAAACAATTA